CACGGGGGGGGGGGGATGAAGGGGGTGAAGGAGGGGTGAAGGGGGGGGGGGTGAAGGGGGGGGGGTGAGGGGGGTGAAAGGGTGGGGGTGAAGGGGGGGGGTGAAGGGGTGGGGGTGATCGGGGTTGGTGGTCGTGACCAACAGAATCTACAAAGGTGGACGGGATGAGTTAAAGGTTCACTGTTGGGTCCTAGTGTCTCACTCGGCACTCACGGCGAGAGAGTGAGACAGGGTGAGACGCGACCTCAGATGCACTTGTGTTGTTACTCGCTGTGTCTCTGTCTCTCTCTCTCTGTCTCCGTGTCTCTGTCTCTGTCTCCGTGTCTCTGTCTCTCTCTCTGTCTCCGTGTCTCTGTCTCTCTCTCTGTCTCCGTGTCTCTGTCTCTCTCTCTGTCTCCGTGTCTCTGTCTCTCTCTGTCTCCGTGTCTCTGTCTCTCTCTCTGTCTCCGTGTCTCTGTCTCTCTCTCTGTCCCCGGGTTTCTCTCTTTCTCTATCTCTCACACACAGGCGCTCACTGATCACCTCTGGTGCTGCTGTTGCTGCTTCGCTGGGGAGCGCAGCTAGCCATGCTGCGCTCACCGACCAGGGTAAGGGCTCACCGACCAGGGTAAGGGCTCACCGTTCAGGGTAAGGGCTCACGGAGCAGGGTAAGGGCTCACCGTTCAGGGTAAGGGCTCGCGGAGCAGGGTAAGGGCTCACGGAGCAGGGTAAGGGCTCACCGGCCAGGGTAAGGGCTCACCGGCCAGGGTAAGGGCTCACCTGCCAGGGTAAGGGCTCACCGTTCAGGGTAAGGGCTCACCGTTCAGGGTAAGGGCTCACGGAGCAGGGTAAGGGCTCACCGGCCAGGGTAAGGGCTCACCGGCCAGGGTAAGGGCTCACCTGCCAGGGTAAGGGCTCACCGTTCAGGGTAAGGGCTCACCGTTCAGGGTAAGGGCTCACGGAGCAGGGTAAGGGCTCACTGACCAGGGTAAGGGCTCACCGACCAGGGTAAGGGCTCACCGACCAGGGTAAGGGCTCACTGTTCAGGGTAAAGGGCTCACCGACCAGGGTAAGGGCTCACTGACCAGGGTAAGGGCTCACCGACCAGGGTAAGGGCTCACCGTTCAGGGTAAGGGCTCACGGAGCAGGGTAAGGGCTCACCGACCAGGGTAAGGGCTCACCGACCAGGGTAAGGGCTCACGGAGCAGGGTAAGGACTCACCGACCAGGGTAAGGGCTCACCGAGTAGGGTAAGGGCTCACCGTTCAGGGTAAGGGCTCACGGAGCAGGGTAAGGGCTCACCGTTCAGGGTAAGGGCTCACGGAGCAGGGTAAGGGCTCACCGACCAGGGTAAGGGCTCACGGAGCAGGGTAAGGGCTCACGGAGCAGGGTAAGGGCTCACCGGCCAGGGTAAGGGCTCACGGAGCAGGGTAAGGGCTCACCGGCCAGGGTAAGGGCTCACCGGCCAGGGTAAGGGCTCACCTGCCAGGGTAAGGGCTCACCGTTCAGGGTAAGGGCTCACCGTTCAGGGTAAGGGCTCACGGAGCAGGGTAAGGGCTCACTGACCAGGGTAAGGGCTCACCGACCAGGGTAAGGGCTCACCGACCAGGGTAAGGGCTCACCGTTCAGGGTAAGGGCTCACGGAGCAGGGTAAGGGCTCACTGACCAGGGTAAGGGCTCACCGACCAGGGTAAGGGCTCACCGACCAGGGTAAGGGCTCACCGTTCAGGGTAAGGGCTCACCGACCAGGGTAAGGGCTCACTGACCAGGGTAAGGGCTCACCGACCAGGGTAAGGGCTCACCGTTCAGGGTAAGGGCTCACGGAGCAGGGTAAGGGCTCACCGACCAGGGTAAGGGCTCACCGACCAGGGTAAGGGCTCACCGAGTAGGGTAAGGGCTCACCGTTCAGGGTAAGGGCTCACGGAGCAGGGTAAGGGCTCACCGTTCAGGGTAAGGGCTCACGGAGCAGGGTAAGGGCTCACCGACCAGGGTAAGGGCTCACCGTTCAGGGTAAGGGCTCACGGAGCAGGGTAAGGGCTCACAGAGCAGGGTAAGGGCTCACGGAGCAGGGTAAGGGCTCGCGGAGCAGTGTAAGGGCTCACCGAGTAGGGTAAGGGCTCACCGTTCAGGGTAAGGGCTCACGTAGCAGGGTAAGGGCTCACCGTTCAGGGTAAGGGCTCACGGAGCAGGGTAAGGGCTCACGGAGCAGGGTAAGGGCTCACGGAGCAGGGTAAGGGCTCACGGAGCAGGGTAAGGGCTCACCGGCCTGGGTAAGGGCTCCCCGTTCAGGGTAAGGGCTCACCGACCAGGGTAAGGGCTCACCGACCAGGGTAAGGGCTCACCGAGCAGGGTAAGGGCTCACCGTTCAGGGTAAGGGCTCACCGACCAGGGTAAGGGCTCACCGACTAGGGTAAGGGCTCACCGACCAGGGTAAGGGCTCACCGGCCTGGGTAAGGGCTCACCGAGCAGAGTAAGGGCTCACCGGCCAGCGTAAGGGCTCACCGGCCTGGGTAACGGCTCACGGAGCAGGGTAAGGGCTCGCGGAGCAGGGTAAGGGCTCACCGGCCAGGGTAAGGGCTCACCTGCCAGGGTAAGGGCTCACCGACCAGGGTAAGGGCTCACCGACCAGGGTAAGGGCTCACCGACCAGGGTAAGGGCTCACGGAGCAGGGTAAGGGCTCACCGACCAGGGTAAGGGCTCACCGGCCTGGGTAAGGGCTCACCGACCAGGGTAAGGGCTCACCGACCAGGGTAAGGGCTCACCGACCAGGGTAAGGGCTCACCGACCTGCTCACGAGGAGGAGAAAGAACACGGCCATCAGCAGCAGCAGCAGCGACAACATTACCAGCAGCATCATCAACACTAGAATCCCCATCAGCAACATCATCAGTAGCAGCAGCAACAACATCAGCATCATCACTAGAATCCCCATCAGCAACATCATCAGCAGCAGCAACATCAGTTGCATCATCACTACAATCTCCATCAGCAACATGATCATCAGCAGCATCATCAGCAGCAACATCAGTAGCATCATCAATAGAATATCCATCAGCAACATTAAATCAGCAGCATCATCAGCAGCAGCAGCATCATCATCATCATGATCATCATCAGCAGCAGCATCATCATCACTAGAATCTCCATCAGCAACATCATCATCATCAGCAGCAACATCATCACTTGAATCTCCATCAGCAACATGATCATCAGCAGCATTATCAGCAGCAACATCATCATCAGCAACGTGATCATCATCATCAGCATCATCACTAGAATCTCCATCATCAGCATCATCATCATCAGCAACAACATGATCATCATCATCAGCAGCATCAGCAGCAGCAACAACAACATGATCATCATCAGCAGCATCATCACTAGATGCTCTATCATCAGCAGCATCATCATCATCACCAGCAACAACATGATCATCATCATCAGCAGCATCATCACTAGAATCTCCATCATCAGCAGCACCATCATCATCAGCAACAACATCATCAGCAGCAGCAGCATCATGAGCAGCAGCAGCAGCTGACATCGTGACCCCGGTCTCCAGAGAGCGCTGTCTCACCGAGCGAGCAACAGGAGAGCAGACACCACGTGGTCGTCTGGGTCTCTTTGTTTTGTCGTCGCTAACGGCACTTGCCCCAACAGTGAGTTGAGGCTTCACGGGGGGCATCTTTGCCTTTGTGCGTGTCCGTGTGTGGGGGGCGGCGGCGTGGCGGCTCGGCGCTCGGCGCCACCAACCCGCTTGACCCCACGAGTTCGATTTCCCGGCCAGGGCCAACACCGCTGACCCATGCATACGGTGACGATTATACGAGCCGGTGCTGAGGCCCTCAACCCTTAGGTCGACCCAATCGAGTTCCTGTTACGACGTGTTAAAAAGTCACGACAAGAAAAAAAATGAACATTGCCAACAGGGAGACAAAGGCGGCCGGGCGTGGTGCTGTCCACCCACCCACCCCTCCCACCCCCACCCCCCCCCCCTCGTGTGCCGTACCAATGCTGTATACGGGGGGGATCTCTGCCTTTGTGTGGGTCTGGTGTCCTGTTGCTGCGCGTGTCGTCTGTTCGCGTATGTCGCGGTGTGTGTGTGTGTCTGTGTGTGTGTGTAAACATCGCCACTGGGGAGACAAAGGCGGTCGGGCGTTGTGCTGGCCACCCACCCCACCCCTCCCCCCCTCGTGTTACCGTTCCGGCCATCATAGGTGCTCGCTAACGGCACTTGCCCCTACAGTCTGTCAAGGCTATATGGGGGATCTTTGTCATCACACGCGAGGAGCGGTGGCGCAGCGGTGAGCGCACTTCTCCGCGTACTCGGCAACCCGGTCGCGATGTCTCGCTCGCGATCAGTCGCTGCGGCGGGATTTTTTTTATTTTATTTAGTTGCGGTGCTGAGCCTCCCCTGGGTCGACTCAGCCTCAAAAAATGAGACACGGTGTGTTAACATCGGCACGGGGGATACAAAGGCGGAACGGGCGTCGAGTGCCGTGCGTGCGTTCATGGGTTCTGCTCCTCGCTAACAGCACTTGCCCCGACAGTTTGGTGAAGGCTACACGGGGGATCTTTGTCTTCGTTTGCGTGTGTCTGTCCGCTCCCCATTGCACGTGTTTCACCTCTCACCACGTCCCCCTCCCTCTTTGCCTTAGTCCACCTTAGTCCATCCACAACTCTACCTCTCTCGCTCTCGCTCTCTCTCTCCACCTCTCCCACCTCTCTCTCCTCCCTCCCTCCCTCCGCCTCCCACCGGCACCACCACCACCACCACCACCGCGCCCTACCAGATGGATCGCCTCGGCCCTGCCGTGCGCCGCCGCCTCTACAGCCTCCCTCAGCAGCTGTCTCGAAAGGGCAGCAGCATCATGGACGAGGATGATGACGAGGAGGTGGAGGAGGAGGTGGAGGAGGAGGAGGAGGAGGTGGTGGAGCAGGTGGAGGATCAAGTAGGAGCAGGAGGAACTGTTCCACCAGCCAGCGGGCAGCAGCATCAGGAGGTGGAGGAGGCGATGAGAGTAGCGTGTGGTGGTGGTTGTGGTGGTGGAGGTGGTGGTGGTTGTGGTGGTGGTGGTGGTTGTGGTGGTGGAGGTGGTGCTGGAGGAGGGATGGAGCAAAGTGCAGCTGCGGGTGCGATCCAACTCCGACGCTTCCGCTCATCTCGCGGCGTCGGAGGAGGAGGAGGAGGCGGTTCTCTCTCTCCTCCTCCCTCCTCCTCCTCCTCCTCTTCTTACCCCGCCAGCGCCGGGCTGCTCCTCAACGGCGCGTGCCGAGAGCAGGCGAGGCGTGTTCACAGCACCACCAACACCACCACCAACACCACCACCAACACCACCACCACCAGCATCTCGGAATCCCGAGGCGACGTGTCCATGGCGACAGCTGATCATCATCATCATCCTCCTGCTTCTGCTGCTGCTGCTGCTGCTTCTGCTGCTGCTGGGCGGCCCTCGCCGGCTCGGAGGAGAGAGCGCACCAGGCGTAGCCGGGATCGAGACGACACCGAAGCGGCACGCGTGCTCGACTCGACCACCGCTGAGCGCGGAGGAGGCGGAGGGGTCGGAGGACTCCTCGGGGAGGAGGAGGAGGAGGAGGCGGCTCCGGGCTTCGCGCGGAGGCAACTCGGGGCCATGCTTCAGCCGGGAGTGAATAAGTTCTCGCTGCGGATGTTCGGCAGCGAGAAGGCGGTGGCCAGGGAGCAGGAGCGCGTCAAGTCGGCCGGCCTGTGGATCATCCACCCGTACAGCGACTTCAGGTGAGGGCCACAGCGACTCCGGGCAAGCGCGGTCGGTCTCCGCGAAGTTGCAACATAAACAAGTTCGACTCGACGCTGCCCCATAGACTCAACACTTGCCCGTAGACTCAACACTGCCCATAGACTCAACACTTGCCCGTAGACTCAACACTTGCCCATCGACTCAGCACTGTCCATAGACTGAACACTGCCCGTAGACTCAGCACTGCCCGTAGACTCAACACTGCCCAGAGACGCAACACTGCCCATAGACTCAACACTACCCATAGGCTAACACTACCCACAGACTCAACACTACCCATAGACTCAACACTACCCATAGACTCAACACTACCCATAGACTCAACACTGCCCATAGACTCAACACTTGCCCGTAGACTCAACACTGCCCATAGACTCAACACTGCCCATAGACTCAACACTACCCATAGACTCAACACTACCCATAGACTCAACACTGCCCATAGACTCAACACTGCCCATAGACTCAACACTACCCATAGACTCAACACTACCCATAGACTCAACACTGCCCATAGACTCAACACTGCCCATAGACTCAACACTACCCATAGACTCAACACTCCCCACAGACTCAAAACTACCCATAGACTGAACACTGCCCATAGACTCAACACTGCAACTCCGATTAGCACGGTTGGTACGGTGCGAAATAAGTTCATAACACACACATAGGAGGAGGAGAGTGGTGGGTGAGGAGGTGGTGTCGGTGTTATGCACAGCTGTCAACACCTTATCAGTACCCTACCTTATTACAGACCAACTCAAACATTTTTGGTCACCACGTGCCACTTACGAATCGCGACGTTCATCCTACAAAGTCACCATCGCAAGGGAGAGACACACCACATCTTTTTTTGAGCCCGAATTGAAACGGGCGTAAGCCTTATGGACCTGCAAACTCAATTGCCCTTCACCGCAACACGTGGTAAACCTTTTGCGGGCTGACACGGTGCGGGTGTTGCGACGCAGGCCAAACTTTGAGTGAATCTGACAGACCCTGGGCAGCAGTCGCAACAGCGGCAGCAGCAACGCGTGCGTGAGTGAGATCGCGTTTTCCATTGTCGCTTCCTCTATCCTGGCTCTGATCTCCCCCCCCCCCACCGCATCCCGTGACGCCGAATGGGTTCGGGAGGCCACCGTCCATCAGTTGTATGAATCATGATCGACGGTAAACCACGAGATTTGTTTTATTTTACAAGGCAAGGCCCACCGAGCCGCATGGCTCCTTTTTTTTACTTTCTTTCAGAAACGATGCGGCCGCGAGCGATAACTCTGCGTGGTGGCCCGATCACCGTCGCGTGGATATTTACCGCAGCCAAGTGCTGCGGAGCCGCCGCGATGTTGATTCTAAATGTGGAATGATTCACGCGACCACGGGGGAGAGAAGAAGAGGGACGCAGACTTCAAATATACACCAGGCGTCAGGGTCGAGATGGAACGGACGACCTCCCGTATACCGGGCGAGGGAGTTAACACGGTTGGCTAGACCATGCGTCAGGCTCGATATTGAGCGGACGACCTCCTGTATACCGGGAGTAGGAGTTAACACGGTTGGCTAGAGCAGGCATCAGGGTCGAGATGAAACGGACGACCTCCCGTATACCGGGCGAGGGAGTTAACACGGTTGGCTAGAGCAGGCATCAGGATCGAGATGGAACGGACGACCTCCCGTATACCGGGCGAGGGAGTTAACACGGTTGGCTAGAGCATGCGTCAGGGCCGAGATGGAGCGGACGACCTCCCGTATACCGGGCGAGGGAGTTAACATCTCGCCACCGTGGCACGATGCTGCCAACGGAGTGCTGGAGGGAGTCCCTGACGGCGCGCGCTCCACTCGGGTTCGCGGACAAAGCGCGAGAGGTCCTCCTCTGCTGCTCGCGTGGAGCGTCCAGGCGCTGGTGCTCACCTTCCCGTTGGTGGCAATTCCACATTCCCGTGGCAGGGTGCGGTGGGGGTGCGGTAGACGGGGTGCGGGCGAGGCTATCCATAGAACGCCTAACAATTGACTTCCCCCCCCCCCCCCCCCCACACATGTATGTGTTGTGTGTATGTACATACGGTGCGAAAGAAGTTCGATATACATGCGTGTTTAATTCATTTGGTGCCGTGCGTAGCCAACCGTGCTCACACACAAAGCAGTTGCAAAGGAATTCGTTTTGAGTCTCGATTATGTAAAAGTGCATCACGGCCCACGGTGGTTTCCCCATATCGGAAGTCAGAGCGTTCCGCACGGCCGCAGTGGTACCCAGTGTATCCACCCCAGAACGGACGGATGATGGTGATGATGATGGGCTGAGTACACCTCGTGTCGAAGCGAGAGACGTTCATTTGGCGATGCTGGTGCACGAACAACAACAACAACAACTTCACACGGTCCGTGTCTATAACAACAACACCGCGTGCGGGGCCTTGCAAGGAAAGCATAGAATTGGCGACGTTTCGGGAATTGGCCCTTCCTCATAGCTCAGAGCAGAGAGATGGTGGCAACTGTGGAGGCCTCCAGAACAGTGCTACGCATTCCGTTCAGTTTTGTTTTCGGCACGTGTTGGGTAACACGTGCCGTGTACCACGTGTTGTTCGACACGTGGTACACGGCACGTGTTGTGCAAGACGTGTTGTGCGACACGTGCCGTGAACCACGTGCTGTTCGACACGTGCTTTGTACCACGCGTTGTACGACACGTGCCGTGTACCACGTGCTGTTCGACACGTGCTGTGTACCAAGGTGTTTTTCGACACCTGTTGCGTGCCACGTGTTGTTCGACACGTGTTGTGTAACACGTGTTGTTTGACACGTGTTGTTCGACACGTGTTGTGGAACACGTGTTGATTGACACATGTTGTTCGACACGTGATGTTTACCACGTGTTGTTCGACACGTGCTGGTCGACACCTGTTGTGCAACACGTGTTGTTCGACACGTGCTGTGTACCACGTGTTGCTTGACACGTGTTGTTCGACACGTGCTGTGTACCACGTGTTGTTCGACACGTGTTGTGCAACACGTGTTGTTCGACACGTGCTGTGTAGCACGTGCTGTTCGACACGTGTTGTGTAACACGAGTTGTTTGATACGTGTTGTGTAACACGTGTTATTTGACACGTGATGTTTGACACGTGTCGCATCCCTCCCGCCCGCAGAGTTTGTGTGTTCACCGCCCTGGAGTAGAGGGAGTGGGGGGGGTGCATTTGTTTGAATCATTTTGGGGTTCCAGGCGGGCTGTGGTTTTTTGTGGTGGTGGTTGTTGATGGTTGGTGGTGGTGGGTGGTGATGGTGGTGGTGGTGGACGTGATGTTTGGTGGTGGTGTTTGTGGGTGGTGCTTGGTGGTGGCTGACTCGAAGTCGAGTGAGAGCGACTCGTGGGCGACTATCCCGGAGTGGTCGAGCATGACGCAGGAATCCCTCGCTCGCTAAGTGAGAGTGGGCCAGGTGAGTGGTGGCAGCCAAAAGCAGCAAGTAGTGACATTTCTCTGAACATTTTAAACGATACAGAAACATCATTTTTATTTTCCAGCTAAGGCCCACTGAGCTACATAGCTGGCCACAAATGATAGCTCAACGATGTGGCTAATCGCGTGGAAATGTTTAGCAGCCAAATACTCTGAACGCGCGTTTCTAAATGTGGAGGGGAAAACCGGAGGACCCGGAGAAAAATCCACGCGGCCACGGTGAGAGAGACACCGCAAACTCCCAATTTACAGACATTGTCAGGGTCGGGATCGAACCCACGACCTCCTGTATACCAGGCGAGGTAGTTAACATCTCATAGCCAACGTTCAATGTCACTCGCATCACTTGCGCATGTTCTCTGATCCGTGCGTTCCCCATTCTTGACTCGAGAGGCAATCCCACGAAAGTTTAAACTATTTCCGTTCCAGAAAAACAAACATTTTTATGTTAAATTCTTACCCGCGCTGCTCACATTGCGAGTGAATGAATGCCCCCGTGCATTCGAATGCCCCTCGCGACGAACAGGGGCGCCACTCTGTGCCAAGAGAGAGAACAATAACAATATCAAGGAACGGCCCCGAGGTCCGAAGTCGCGGTTGGGATTCTCACGCAACTCAGCGACACGCTCTCGTGAAGCGAAAACAATTGAAAAAAAAAGGCTCATCGGCCTCGGTGCGGTTATGCGAAAAATAATATGTATGTAAAAATAAAAGAAAAAATATATAACCCCAAATAAATAAGACAAACTACATAAAGAAACCAAAACATTAACAACGACAAAATATTGACAAAAACAATGAGTAAAAAAGAAAACACCGTCGGAAGTTCGCAAAAAAGTGCACTGTGGCGACTTATTCGGTGGCGAATGTCACTCGGCATCAAAATCAACGGGAGATCGTTTCGAGGAGAGGCTGCTCAGCGGACGACGCGTGGCAGACGCAGCGCGGTGTTTAATGTTGAACATTCAAGGGAGGACGTTGATGTGAATGAAGTGACAGAGCCGAGTTGACGTGACCGGGCGTTTCGTGTGTGGCCACTGGTGACCGGGCTGAGTCCATCGACTCGCGTCGCCCACGACGCAGGCTTAATCTCAACTCAGTCTACGTGAGTCTATGGGTCTCTAGGTGAGTCTATGTGTCTCTGTGTGAGTCTATGGGTCTCTATGTGAGTCTATGGGTCTCTGTGTGAGTCTATGGGTCTCTAGGTGAGTCTATGTGTCTCTGTGTGAGTCTATGGGTCTCTATGTGAGTTTATGGGTCTCTATGTGAGTCTATGGGTCTCTATGTGAGTCTATGGGTCTCTACGTGAGTCTATGGGCCTCTACGTGAGGCTATGTGTCTCTGTGTGAGTCTATGGGCCTCTGTGTGAGTCTATGGGTCTCTGTGTGAGTCTATGGGTCTCTGTGTGAATCTATGCGTCTCTGTGTGAGTCTATGGGTCTCTGTGTGAGTCTATGTGTCTCTGTGTGAGTCTATGGGTCTCTGTGTGAGTCTATGTGTCTCTGTGTGAGTCTATGTGTCTCTGTG